TATGAAATATTACAATTTGATTCTTCAAAAGATACTATTGTTTCCAGAGTAAAAGCCTCGTAATGCGGAATTATTACATCGTTCAAAAAAAATATTACATCATACATGGCACAATTACATGGGTGTAATAAAAAATTACATATAAACCTCGAGTCGAGAGCATTTTATTCGGCAATGATAATCCAGCAAATTTACACAATTATTTTCTTCTTGTTTATTCTTTGTTTCTTCTCGAGAATTTATGAAATAAATTTGTAGTCTTTTTTACACTATGACAGGAAGATTTTTTTAAAATTCTGTTCCAGTTCAACGTGAACCTGTGCAAAACGTAAACAAACACCTCATAAAAGATGCTTTTTTGTTTAATTATTAAACTTATACTTTGCGTATTTAAATCTCAAGATAAAGTTTCTTCTTTTATTAAAATTTATTAAAATCAAATCGAACAATATTTTCACTGAATAAACAGTGGATATTTATTTTTCAGTTTCTGTTTAAATTAATTAAAATTAGTTTAATTTTTGTAATATCTAACGTTTTATTTCTGAACCGATGTTAAAATCGTTTTACCAATTTTTGTAAGTAATAAAATAATGTACTTTAAGTAATAACTTATAATTAATTAAGGTTTTTAGGAAAAATGGCAAAAAGGAGGGAAAATTCAAAAGTACGGTTGAAATGAAAAGTTGGTGTACGAGTGGAACGAGGTCATGATAGCTCAAGTGGTAGAGCAGCGACGTATCAAGCCGAAGATCGTGGGTTCGAATCCCGCTGGTGCCATTGACTTTTTTATCTCAACTAAAAACTTAATTAATTATAATATATAATTGGTCAAGCGGATCACGAAATTGGTGAATTTAAGTAATAATGTTTCGAAAAGTTTCAAGACTACGTTTCAAGTTGTGGTAGCGATATATGTCAATATAATTTGATCTAGTTTGACAAAAGATAAATAAATGGAAAATTCCTTTTTGGTTTGCCTAATTTGAAGGTGTTTTTTTACCATAAAAGTTACGATTTTGCGATGCTTGAACAAAACAATTTAAAATAATTTTTTATATCAAAAGTGGCATAGCAATGATATAAAACATTTAAAAAAAACATAAGACTAACTTTACGTGGTAAAAACCAAAACCACAATTTTGACTTCAAAAATATAAAAATATTAGAAAGAGAAATACTAGAACATTTATTTGTAATAAGTATTTGATGAACTAGTCAAATTTTTCCCCGGCTAGCTGCTAAGTCTATTGGCAACTCCTCACGCTTTGTCTATCTCCTTTATAGTTTTATTACCCCTATTTTTATGTTTAACGATTCCATATTTGGCGAAAATGTCCTAAATCCTTTAAAATACACATTCATACTATTTCAAAGATTATTTAACCCCAAGGACTACTCTAAAGTTATGAACAGCATAATCCTTGACGTCTTCTCTTCATTCACGCCAATAAATTCACTCATTCACTTAGTAAAAAGTACTTGTTTTGTAAAACTTCAGATGTGTTTTGTCGACACTGCCAGGTGATTTTTAAAGCCTACTTTTCCAAAGCACCAAGAGATTTGTTTTCCAAAACTTAAGAAGTATTTTGTCGATTTTGTCAGGAGATTTTATCGAAACGTCAAAAGAATCTTTTCTAAACCACCAAGAGATTTATTTTTCAAAACTTAAGAAGTATTTTGTCGATTTTGTCAGGAGATTTTATCGAAACATCAAAAGGCTCTTTTCTAAACATATCAATTTTTCATCACATGTTACCAATCAACGAGAAATGGGTCGTCAGAGTGAAAAGCAAATTAAGATCCGCTAAATTCCTTTCGCTGAATTTGTGTAGGATCCATGTAGCGTACTTTTCAACAAACCAAAATCGTTGGATGTAGTTTCCAAAAATTTTATAGGGAATATTTAACATCGCGGATCGCAAATATTGATTTTTTTCTAGCCTATGTCTTAATAAGGTCGTCGTCAACTTCAGAAGGACGAAGAACAAAATTTCCTTCTCTAAATCGAGCAAACCACCGTAGGAATTTACAAACATTTACAGCATTGTTTCCTTTTTGGAATTCATAAAGTAAACAATTCCTTGAATGCGTTTCATCCAAGCACATAATTACTTAATAAATTATTCAACACAACTAAAAAAGTTGAAATAGATACTGAAAAGAAATGAAGCCTTTTAATTTAAAGATTGAACTAGCTTATTTGTAGACGCAAATAATATAGACAAAAATGTAAATATTGCGCTAATTAATTGGATTAATTAAAAAACGACATTTAAAAAAAATGATTTTTCAAAAGGTATGCCTTATAATAAAATGTAAAATACTAATAACCTTTTCTTTGTTATATTTGTCTTTTAAAAATATAAACTTCCCATAAAAAAAGACAGACCTCGTTCCTGCACGAAAAAATGGCCAACTTTGGAAATGCATATTTTCTCAGCTTTTTAAAGCACAGAATTGCACCAGGCCTCCATTAATAGAAGGTTTTGCGATGAACAAGATGCCTTTTTTTTAATGTTTTCCTAGCTTCATCTATAAATTCAAAAATGCTGAAATTGAGAAGTTTTTGATATGTTATTTTCCTTTTTTTTTAAAGAAGATCCTATACTGTTGCTGATTCCTCTTTTGTATTGAAACATTTTTTTAATTCAAAAACCTTTAAAAACCATGATTTTTAACAAATAAAATGTAAGAATTGTAGCTTCCTTGTTCCCATTTTGGAAAAAGTCCTTAGAACAAAAGTTGTAGAGTGTAAAATTTTCAAAAACATCAAGATTAAAATGATTTGTTCTTGACAATCAGGAGGGAGAGGAATAGGTTTTTTCCATGAGCGCGTCAAAAAACCACCCTTTTGCCCAAAAATCGCGAATAATTCGCAAACGGTTGAAAAATCGGGCAAATTGGAAAGTGAAGCTTATTGAAATTTCTTATCGTTTGCTATAGGGCGTCGCTCCAGGAAAATAGCATGTGCAAAATGTTCCCGAATTTTTGATTTTACAGATGAACGACTGAAGTTAGGAAAACATTTAAAAAAGGCATCTTGTTCAGCGTAAAACTTTCTACAAAATGAGACCTGGCGCAGGTCTGTGACTTAAAAGGCTGAAAAATATACTTTTTCAAATTTGAACATTTTTTCGTGCAAAAACCAGGCAGTCGGTTATTATATGGCATACTTTTTTAAAAATCATTAATTTTTTGGGGTTTTGCAAAAAAAAATAATGTCGTTTTTCAATTAATCCAATTAACTAGCTCAATATTTATATTTTTGTTAATATGATTTGTGTTCACAAACAAGCTCGTTTAATCTTTAAATTAAAAGGCTCAGTTTCTGTTTTCAATTTTTTTTAGTTGGCCAATTTTTTCGTGTAAAAACCAGGAAGTCGGTCTTTTTTTATGGGAAATTAATATTTTTAAAAGACATAAATATAAAAATGGAAAGAACATTAGTATTTTACGTTTTATTATAAGGCTTATTTTTTTAAAAATCATTAATTTTTTGGGTTTTGCAAAAAAATAATGTCGTTTTTCAATTAATCCTATAAATTAGCTCAATATTTACATTTTTGTCTATATTATTTGCGTCCACAAATAAGCTCGTTTAATCATTAAATTAAAAGTCTCAGTTTCTGTTTTCAATTTTTTTAGTGCCCATTTTTTCGTGCAAAAACCAGAAGGTCGGTCTTTTTTTTACGGGAAATTAATATTTTTAAAAGACATCAATATAACCAAGGAAAGACATTAGTATTTTACGTTTTATTATATGGCATACTTTTTTAAAAATCATTAATTTTTTGGGGTTTTGCAAAAAAAAATAATTTCGTTTCTCAATTAATCCAATTAGCTAGCTCAATATTTATATTTTTGTTTATATTATTTGCGTTCACAAATAAGCTCGTTTAATCTTTAAATTAAAAGGCTCAGTTTCTGTTTTCAATTTTTTTTAGTTGCCCATTTTTTCTTGCAAAACCTGGGAGGTCGGTCTTTTTTTTACGGGAAATTAATATTTTTAAAAGACATAAATATAACAAAGGAAAGGAAATTAGTATTTTACGTTATATTATAAGGCATATTTTAAAAAAAATCATTAATTTTTGGGGTTTTGCAAAAAAAAATAATTTCGTTTCTCAATTAATCCTATAAATTAGCTCAATATTTACATTTTTGTCTATATTATTTGCGTCCACAAATAAGCTCGTTTAATCATTAAATTAAAAGGCTCAGGTTCTGTTTTAAATTTTTTTAGTTGCTCATTTTTTCGGGCAAAAACCAGGAGGTCGGTCTTTTTTTATTGGGAAATTAATATTTAAAAGACAAAAATATAACAAAGGAAAGAACATTAGTATTTTACGTTATGTTATAAGGCGTATTTTTTTTCAAAATCATTAATTTTTTGGGGTTTTGTAAAAAAAGGCGTTTTTCAATTAAACCAATAAATTAGCTCAATATTTGCCCTTTTGTCTATATTATTTGCGTCCACAAATAAGCTCGTTTAATCTTTAAATTAAAAGGCTCAGTTTCTGTTTTTAACTTTTTTAGTTGCCCATTTTTTCGTGCAAAATCCAGGTGGTCGTATATTCGTTTTTTTAATGAGCAGTGTAGAATCGGATGATGTGTGTAACGTACCGAGGATGATGTGCGTAATGTACCGAAACGCTCAAATAAATATATAAATAAGTAATGAATTTACCTTTTTTTTTTAAACTATATCAATTTTTTTGCCCTAAAAACCCTAAAAAAATAATAATAATCATTATTATCGCCGGTTCTTAGTCTGTCATTTAATGCAACGAATCAAGGCAATCAAGGCCGACCACTTCTGTAACAGACGGTACAAAATATTTATTTGAATCACAGTTTTATGCAAAACTAACCGAATTACCATGTTTTCCAGCCAGGGCTCTCCGAGGGGCGGAGGGTGGAAAATAATTGTTTATCGGAGAGTGCCGCCGCCCCTCATTTCTGCCATCGTAAAGGGTTAATGAATGTGATTTTGTCAGAGGGCGTGCGCAGCGCGAGGAGGGGACCGCCGCGCCGGCCGAGGAGGCAGTCAGTCAGTTTGTTACCGGCTTGTGTTGAGGAGGGAACCCGCCGAGAGGACACCTTGTCGCGAACAGGCACAACTCCCGACCCTCCCGTGTGCAATGGGCAAAAAAGGGAGGAAGACGAGGTGGAGAAAACTACCCATTCCCATCGGAGAAGGTCAGTCACTTTCATTTTGACGAGATTTTTTAACATTGAACCACACCAACAGACCAATTTCACATCGTGTTGCAAAATCAAAAAAGCATCTCTGTAAACTTGTTCATTATTAAAGAAACTTAACTATCTTGTGTTAAGATCAGAAAAAACATAAAACTTGCACTACATATATAAATTGTTTACTTAAAAATAAACGATTAAGTAAATCATACGCCTTTAGAATATTAAGAAAAAGAAAAATTTGTTCGTCTACCTTGATTTAAAAAATAAAACCAAAATCGTGTTTAATTACTCCCATATGGGTCCACTATCTTAGGTCGATACGATACAATAGGTGGATAAATTCCCCTCTTAAAACTTTTTTACACTATTTTTATTTTTATTTTTACCGTCTGTGATATATAAAACTAGTCTAGTCATTTCATACTCGAAAACGTGAAGAACAAAAAAGTGAAAAGGTTTCCGAGTTAACCTGAAAATAAAAAAATTCAAATTTATATACTTCTGACTAAAAATCAACCCCTAAAGAACGTACAATAAAGTACCGAAATGTAGGCAAAGATTTAAAATTTAAAATATTTTATTTTACCACATCCCAGAGTGCTAGTAAGACTCTCATTTCAACCCCTTGACCAAACAGAATAATATTTACAAATATATAATAATTAAATTAATGTCTTATAACAAACTGAAGATCTTGTACCCCTAATATAAAGTTTTTTTAATTAAAACCCCCATAATTTTATTGCCCGGGCAATATCTAATTTAAGTCTTAAAACATTGTTTTAAATCATGGATTACCATACGGATAGACATTTGTTTCAAATTTTGCCATAAAAAAACTTTGATTGTAATGACGGTCAAATTATTCCATATGAAAACGTGACTTCCTATTAGCCAAAGGGAAAAATTGGCAAAATGCAATTTCACACCGTCTGCCCTTCTGCTTACTTGGAACAAAGGGCCTCAATTATTAAAATATAACTTTTTATATATATTTTATTCATTATTTACGGAAATTAATGAATTCAAACGAAAATTTTGATATAAGCGATACTTTATTCTTTTCTTTCTCGAGAACGAATGCATGTTTTTGTTGTTTAAATCAAGAAGTACATTTTAAAAACGAACATTTGTAGTAATAAAGTCAATTTTACATCGGTATATTTAAAATAAAAATCCTGGTATTTGGCGAAAATAATCGATTAAACTTGAAAAAAAGATCGTAATTAAATTGTTTAACATTTTCAACCGATTTTTTATTTATTTATTTTACAACTGTGTACCAAATGCAACAAGGAAAAATTATGTTATTTAGAATGATATACGCATATACATTATTCTATGCACATTTACATGTCTGGCGTGATTGATTTGAACGTCCACCATCCAGTGAAAGTCAGTTAAGTTCCATTGTAGCGTGAAGTGAACATTAGTCCCTTGAGTTGACGAAGTTACACAATTAGATGGCCAAGTCTGCCCTTGTTTTCTATGAGGGTTGGAAGGGTTGAGCTGGACAGGCTGCGAATTAACGGGTTGCCATGATAGTTTGGGGTGAAATCTATTGTAGCCGGACATGGGTGTGTTGAGATCGGAGTGAATTGTATGATTGGTGATAGTAGAATGGAGCATCCACTATTGCCCGAAGGGTTTTGGATTGTAGGGATTGGATTTTGTTAAAATTCCAATGCTTGGCTGTCCAATAGGTTCAAATTGGATCCATTAGGGTAGTGTATAATAGTGTTTTGTTAGTTTAGATCTTTTGGCAAATAGTCTATTCAGGATTTTAGATCTAAGGCTACAGACAACTCGTTTTAGTCGTGTGTGTGGATTCCACGATAGTCCTGACTTCTTTGGGAGTTAAAGTCTTAGGAGGGGTGAGATTCGAAGAGGGTTATTTATTTATCCGTTAATTTTATCAATAAAGTTGATCTTGTATGTCAAGGTGAGGGGGTGAATACTGTGGAGAGGTATTTTGCCGGGAATTGAGGTTTCTCTTCACTGTTGTTGTCGAATTGATGTTTGTAAAAGTTTATACTGTGCTATTTTTAGATCTTAGTCTACATAATGCAGCTAAATTGCACACGCGAACCTCTCCCAGACAAATTATACCACGAAATATACCATAAGGCGGATTGTTATTACCATATTTCCCGGGTTAAACAAAACTGATGTTTAACGATATCTTTGGTTAAAGGATGAATTTAAATTGTGAAAAAGTACGGTTTTAAGAGGCAGAAATATGGTCGGGATTTGTATGGGGTGTGGTAGCGGGTGTTTCGAGGGAGGAGGCCTAGGCAGGAATCGATAGTCTCACAAATGTTATAGGTCAGGCTCGGCTGGTCGAGTAGTGTTATTTATTTTTGGACTTAAATTTGGCTGGCCGTGCTGAAATCTCATGAATGCGACGTGCCGACTTGAGTCCGTTTTCGTATCGATTCGCACCGGCATATGGGGCCACTCCCTCTCGAAAATTTGGCCCGGCGTAGTCATGTTTGCAGGTGCGATTGGGAATCTTGAAAAGTACTAATACTCAAATAACGTGTTTCAATAATAATGTAAAAATTGTAATTCGTAAGTGGGTACATTGATATAAAATATTATCGCTACTGATTATTTGATAGCGCCACTTCTACGACCCGTTGACACTTTACGATCGGTTTATCACTCTTTTTAATCACAAGTAATTAAATTACAAAAGCAAGGTTCAAAAATTTTTATTTAATTTTAATTACGGTCAAATCTCTTTCCTGATTCAATTTATAAATTAAAAGATTAAAAATTTATTCCAGTACGTAAACGTATAGTTATAGAACTAGTAGGATTTAAACCTTAGTAAATTTAAATAAAGTGGTTCTTTTGGCACAAAAATATTATTTATTTATTCTTTTGGATCCATTTCACATATGGTTAATGTTTTTTTAAAATAAAAAAAATACTCCAATAAATTATCTAAATATTAGAACAAATTGTATTTGGATGGTAAGAATGGAAGGTTCTGAAGACATTCTTTAAGTAAGGTATTGAATGAAATGGAAAAGTTAGTGTCACGAGCGGGATTCGAACCCACGACCTTCGGCTCGTGACACTAACTTTTTCATTTCAACCAATACCTTACATAAAAAGATTAGTTAATTGAAAGAAGTTATTTGAAAAATGGCAAAAAGGAGGGAAAATTCGAAAGTTAGGTTGAAGTGGGAAGTTGGTGTCTGAGTGGATCGAAGTCTCGATAGCTCAAGTGGTTTAGCAGCGGCGTATTTAGCCAAAAATCGTGGGTTCGAATCCCGCTCGTGACACTGGCTTTTTTATTTCAACCAATACCTTACATAAAGATTAATTAATTGAAAGTTCTGAAGACAATTCATTCTGTGTTTATGACAGTGTAAAAGGAACAATATTTGAAAATTTGCGTGTTTATGTTGCCTGATGGGGATAATTGAAAGGTGGCTTTCCTACGCGCTCTCTATACGGAGCCAAAAAATTCCTCCCATAAATCAGTAGGACACATCAATCAATGCATGACGAACAGTATTTTTTATGAAATAGTTTTTCCTTTTTTATTTGTACTTTTATTGTTTAACATCGTGTAATTCTTCTACCATTGATTTAACTTTATTTTTAACTCATGTTTGTTGATCTTGTATCGATTACCATCAGTTTTTCCTACGCTGGCCATTATTAATGAATATACTCATTTTCTTATTATATCTCGTTGATGTAATTAGAAGAGGCGACATTAAAGGGCTAATTAGGGCAGGTTTGAAAAATAACCATTCCTCAACGACGCCTGTCCTTTTTGAAGTACACCGGGGACCTAAAATAAACACAAGCTATTGCCCATTAGGAGTGCTTTTATACACGTACTACCTGCTTGCCCTACAGGAATAAACTTATATAAGAACTGAACGTTGATTTATTAAGGACTTGATTAAAATTATGATGAAGTTAAATTTAATCATAAATTTTATTAATTTCAAGAGCAGTCGGACCAAAAGGTTTCATTTCATACTAATTAAATTACCAGTGTATTTCCTACTTTATATCAGCAAATATAAAAAGAAGATATTAAGATTTTATTATCATTACGATAGCGATAGCACAATTAAATCTTAATTCCTATTATAAATTTGTTTCTTTTATATCCCCATATTTAAAATGAAATAATAGTTGGTAATATTTTTTTTTTTTGGAAGACAAATTATATTTTCATTCACGCCAGGATTCGGAAGAACGTCCTTTATTTTTATCTCAGGTAGATACGATAAGGGTCGAAATTTGTGTTGACACAGTCCCGGTTTTTCGTATTTTATATCTTGGACTGTTTAATGTTGAATTATTACACTGACACTGTAACGTTGTTTATTTTAACATCGGCCGTATTTTAAGTACTTTAATCCTACAGAAATGATAAGAGTGTGCATGTTGTAGACTTCCATTCAAGCAAGGGACGAAAATAGGCCTTTTGATAAAGATGGAACTCTCGTATAAGAGATAGAATAAATTCGTAATTCACCATAAAATCCATGATTTTCTAAAAAAAAAAAAAAGAAAAAAAGACGTATACATAAATAATTATAGGAACCAAAAAACTAACATTCAAGGATTCATCAATTGTAATATGGCGTTTGACATGAATATATATCAATAAAATCTCTCTCTCGTCGTTCACGATTTTTTACAAAGATTTTCGAAGTAAAACGATATTCATTCATTCTTTCGTTCGTTCTCTTTTCTCTATTACTCTCTCTCTCTCTCTCTCTCTCTCTCTCTCTCTCTCTCTCTCTCTCTCTTGTCGTTCACGATTTTTTACAAAGATTTTCGAAGTAAAACGATATTCATCCATTCATTCGTTCGTTCTCTTTTCTCTATTTCTCTCTCTCTCTCTCTCTCTCTCTCTCTCTCTCTCTCTCTCTCTCTCTCGTTATTTTCTTTGTTCTTTGTCTATTTTCCATTAGTTGAAAGGCAGTTCAAAATTTTATAAAAATATTTTCTAAGTAAGA